CCCTGGATGAGGTGCCAGTCTATCACAGGGCACAAGGAGGAAGACGTCCTGGATGAGGTGACAGTCCATGACAGGGCAAAAGGTGGGAGACGCCCTGGATGAGGTGCCAGTCTATCACAGGGCACAAGGAGGGAGACCCCCTGGATGAGGTGCCAGTCTATCACAGGGCACAAAGAGGAAGACGTCCTGGATGAGGTGCCAGTCCATGACAGGGCAAAAGGTGGGAGACAAGCTGTATGAGGTGCCAGTCCATGACAGGGCACAAGGAGGGAGACCCCCTGGATGAGGTGCCAGTCCATCACAAGGAACAAACTCACACTGTGAGCAATTTCGACACACCACTTTAGATAAATGCAGCATTTTGGATGAAACCTCAGGACCCAAAGGAGATCCACACAACCAGGTATCGACAACCCGTTCACACACGGACAAATGTGTTCGTGGTAAGACTCGCCTGAATCCATGGAAAAATGTTTTGATTGATCTATTCCCCTCATTAATTAATTATTCGTCATTAAAGAATGAACTAAATTAATTTGACATTTTAAGTGTTTAACTGCGGGAGTTAAGTCATTTATTGCTTTTTATGGAATCCCAATTAAGGGTTATATTACTAAACACAGGTGCCACCTGGTGTTCATTTTATGTATAGCATGAAGCTAATGTGCTTTGGGCTCTCCATTTCAATGGAAGAAAACTAGTGCTTTTGTGAAGTCAAACCTTACATACAAAGTCTTAATTAATATTGCAATGAACCACAGCCTAGACATCACTTTGAAAGTGTTTTTGCGTATCTCACGTTTCACTACCCCTAAGGAGCAGGATTTAAGTATCATTGTATTAAGGCGAACATTCTCGATAAATACACAGAACACAGAAGTCCAGACTTTCACATGGCTGTTTATTTTGAACACCAACATACACATACTCATAACAGGGTCACAATTTAAACATATGTCACTACATTACTTATTATAATTAATATTGCACTTGCGGTCTTCATTATAAATGTATGTAAAGAGAAACTCAAATGATATATTCTGATGCAAATCCTTAGTGTAAGCACACACCTCCCCTTAATGTATCCCTTTAACACCACTTATAATTTAATACAGCTTAATAAAAAGAGAATTAAAATAAATATTAACGCTCATAAAACATATTTATGAACTTATGTGGGGAATTTGTACTGGTGTAATACATATCTTAAGAATAAAACCACCAGCTGCAGTCACCAGTACAAAGCAATTTTTTAAATATTTAAACTAATCTAACTGTGGTCCCATAGTACAATTTTTTTCCACATTCATATTCCCCTAAACACTTTCACTAGTATAACAAACACACTTACTACTAATCTGCCAAGCAAGATGGATAATTGGTAAAGAATTTTATTTATTTATTTATTTATTTATTTATATATATATCAATCACTAAAGGAATAGTCCAAAGTATTCACTTATTCTGTTCATGAAACAGTCTTGGTAAACCAAGCTAGAGCATTCATTTTAACTTTACTGACTGCTATGATCAGATCATCAATTTAAGTTATGCTGTGCTAAGTTTTATTTGAATTACTTCTAGGGTAATGCATAATGCTTTTTGAGCCCTCGGTAATCAATTCTATGCTTTAAAATGCAAGCTAATCTAAACACCCTACTAATTAGATCAAGAGATGCCCAGAAAAATTTGTACACATTACAGAACAAAGGTAAAAGTCACTGGCAAACTGATTACTTTTTGTAAGTCAGGGAATCTTCTCCAGCCAGTGTTATCTTTCACCACTAGAGGGCAGCAGGTGGGCTCAGTTCTTCTTCATAGAATCCAGGATGCGGAGGATGTGCAGGAATAGGTTGATGATGTCCAGGTACAGGTTGATGGAGGCCAGGATGTGTTCCTCTGGGGAGAGCTGGTGCATGATCAGGTGTGTGTCGTAGATAATGAAGCCGCAGAAGAGCAGGGCCCCTGCCCCGGCGAATACCAGCTCTACTGTCTCATTGTAGAAGAAGAGCTGCAGGAGAGTACAGAAAGAGCCCTCACTGAGCATGCCCAGTGGGCCTCTCTCATTCACACATCACATGACATGTGAGCACAGAGTAAACACCACCACATTCACACTGTGGAAAAATTACTTTTACTTACTCTCATAAAGCTGGCGATGATCAGAACCCACAGGACACTAAACAGTCTGTAATGACAATCAGCCACATAAAATGTCTGTCAAGAGCATAATTACTTCCACAACAACAATAATAAAAAAAAAGTTAAGATGCCAGCCTATTAAATTTCACATTTAAATTCCAAATGAATTTGCAGCATCCAATAAAAGTTCCTGTTTTATGTGAAAAGTCCAATAACCAATGAGCTCTTTCGGTAGCAGGCTGTGTCCAGGCCCAAATTCATGTGCATCAGAACTATGGTTAAGGTTAGTTTTCATGGAGGCCGATATCAGGTAATTGAGTTTTGTTTCAGTATAAATGATAAATTACATTATAAATGGCCTAAACTTCAGATCAGAATGAATCAGACTAGTGGGGTGCAATAACGTGCTACACTATTATTGGCCATGACTGGCCAGTTCATTTTTTAAATTTAGCTAATCAAACCCAAGGCCTACATTTCAAGAAAAAACCCATAACGCCCAGCTAGCAGAATCTGAAAGCCTAGTGCTTTTCACATCAATTCATAATATTGAATCACGTCTCCTTGCAGCATTTTCATCAGCTGTCACAGTAATAGACTACAAATGCAGATGCTATCATAAAGAACGATCTGGAAGCGTACCCGGCTCCCAGCTTGCTGAAATCTCTCCTTGACTGGAAGGTGTAGGCAGTCAGCCCCAGAAACACAGCCGCCGTCAGCACGAAGGCCTGAAACACCACGGCGTACTCGTAGAAGGTCACTGCGGAGCAAAAGCCAGAAGAAAGGCAGACGTCCGCATAGATCAAACTAGCCGAGCAGTACCAGAGCAGAGCTCCTCACTCCCAGGCTAGAGGGTAGACGTGTGTGCAGCTAAGCTCAATACTAAGGTTACAACTACAGCACGATTTAAAAAGAATCAGAGCCACCAGGCTACTAAACAGCTCAGATCATGAAAACCTCCCCGTGAGACCAGCAATGAAGATCTAGGCCACAGGTGTCAAACTCCAGCCCCGGGGGGCCGAAGCCCAGCACTTTTTTGGGTTTCCCCTCATTTAACACACCTGATTCAACTCCTTGTGCTAATTACCACACAGCTCTTGAGCTGAATCATTTGTTGTGGAACATGGAAAGAACTAAGTTACACAGGGCTCCGGCCCCCCAGGACTGCAGTTCGACACCCATGATCTAGACTATGAAATGTATATTTTCGCACTAGCAGAGACTAGGCAGCAGCGTTAAAATCAAGGTGTGATTTGGATAACATTACAGGTCACTCCAGATAAGTGTCACTTAATGTAAAGGTTTCAATGCTTATTAATGTGGAACTTACCAGCAGTAGCAACAGAAATTGCCTCCAGAAGTGTCTGAAACAACAACATTTGCATTTAGAACATGTGGTCTATCCTTCACTTCCGTAGTATTTACAGGACGATTAGAAGTGATACTCACAAATCCCAAAAGCAGATACAAGTTGATAGGGTGCTGGTGCCTGTAGATGGCTAGAGCGAAAATCAGACCCAGCGAGCCGATTGCCGACACCAGCACCAAGGAGGGGCTGTGGGAACAACAGACTTCAAAACCTAATAAGGAAAAGCTAAGCTATGTTATGTACTGTATACATTAATTCTAAGACCTTTGCAGTGATGATGGGAAAGGGTGCTTTCATCAAACAAAAAAGGCATGTACTAGTAACAGCTGTCTAATATCACTTTTCAGCAGGGCTGCGTACCGAGACACGGCGCCGATACGGCACTGGCTCCTATACAATCTGTATGTATTGGTCCGTATTGCATCACAGACTGTTTGTTGTTTAATTTCAAGTTCAATTTTGCCTTAGAAATAAAAAATGCACTCTTTAATATCATTGACCTCCTTCCTTGTGCTTTTTTTTTTTTTAATTACTGGTTCAGGCACTGTTTAGGCACCACCTCAGAAGTACCTTTTAGCAACGGTATCAGGAAAAAACCCACACAATCCCCAACCCTCCTTTTGAGGATGCCAGAGCCCCTGCCCCAAACACACCATTATGACACGATATGTGCCTGGCATTAAAAAGCACACTGGAAAAACATACCATGCGTGAATGAAGTTCTTGATTGTGTCAGAGTACATAAAGAGGGCAGATGTAGCTGCGGTCAGGATTATCTGGATGGAGAGGATGGAGTACACCTTCCGCAGAAAATCTGCCCGGGAGAAGAATGAAACACTGTTACCTGCACAGAACCTTCAGCCATATACTAGTAAACATCTATCCATGTCCCACAACCACTAATGCAATGACTATGCAGCCTGCAGGGGAACATCTCGGATGGGATGCAAATGTAATGCAAGGTGGTCAGTATCAAACACACAACACTGGAGCAAAACATGGAAAAACTCAATTCCCATGCAGAATATATGCAGCAGATAACATGGGATTCTGAATTGTCAGTTATTTACTTAGCAATACTGCTCAGTGTACACTGACATGGCACAACTGAGCCTAAATAAGACCAAGGAAATACAATTACTCATTTATGTTACACATTTATCCAAAGCGACTTACAGTAGAGGGAAGGGTTACTTGTGTGTGCTTCCTGGGATTTGAACCCACAACCTTTGCATTGTTAATGCAATAGTATACTTATATGACAGGGGGTTGATGGTTTATAAGTCCATGACTTAGGAATGGCCCACTTCTCTGTTGTTATGCATATAAAATGTTTTAAGTCGACTTCGATTGGTTTAAATTCAACTAAAAACATTTCTGCCATCTTAAACCATACATTTACTCTACACGCATCCCTTAGAGCAGGGGTGGCCAATCTTATCTGCAAAGGGCCGGTGTGTATGCAGGTTTTTGGGATAACTTGTGGGTCCGCTGTTCAAACCCAGGTGTGAGGATTCTTCAGCCAATCAGTTCTCTAATCAATAATCTAATTAGGGAATTGCAGCAAAAACCCACATACACTGCGGCCCTTTCTGGATAAGATTGGCCACCCCTGCCTTAGAGGACTTCAATGCCCCCTGTGCGTTCATGTAATTATTTGACTGAGCAGGGATTTTAGAAGATAAAGACTAACATGTTATAAATCACATAAGTATGATATAAGAGCAATTTCACCTCTTAAACAGGAGTATTAGTCTGCTAAAGATACCGAAAGCGAAATTTACTACATTGTTTACTCTACTCAGAAAATTAAAATTAAAATAAAATTAAAAGGACTTAAAGCTTGAATTTCACTAATTTATTTAGTATTTCTATGAACTTTCTTTTAAATGTACAACAAACCTTATTCATATAGCCTAATTATCTACCTCCCTACGTTAGCTAGTTGGTCATTTTAAAATGAAGACTTCATCTCACCCATTCGGATCTGCACGCTTGCCGTCGCCACATTTGTGCCATAATTAAAGTCATCCTCAATGGACGACCGGGGGTACTTTTCCGCACTCATTTTAAACAAGAGAAACCAAAAACATCAAAATTATACTGCACCAAATACGCTTGTTTATCTAAGAGCGAGCTGCGTCAGTTACACGTCCAGCTTTGTACTGATCAAAGGAAACCCGGAAGTGCAAACTTCGACCACATTTCCGCTTTGGTCACAGATGCTCACTTGACACGGTGATCACATCCACGGTGAACGATCACGGTGAACCCGGAACGTTAAAGTGGGCGATCCTAGAGACTAGGTATTTTACTAAAATCATTATTCCACTGTTTTATATTTGATTACTAGAATATTAATAATAAATCATATGCAGGTTGAAGTAAATTTTTGAATAGACATTATTTAGGTCCACTCTGTAGGCCTATTGAGTTGCTGAAATTGTGTCGTAATTTTTGAGGCAGTACTTTTGTGTTGCTTTGCAAGTATTCATCTTGCCAGTGTTTGTCTATGCCTAGCATATGTCCAGATTCAGATTCAGATTCTCCCCTAGCTAAAAGCATAACCAGGAAGAGTCATTACTGCCTGTAAACATACGGGCCGCTTTTTTGATTGGCTGCCTTAGCTCACGGTTACAGTTTTCACTTTCGTTTCAGGAAAACGCATTTCTGTCGCATTTGTCTGAGCTTGAAAATTCGAAATTTGGAAGAAAATGAAGATATATCTGTCCGTCGCTGTGATCTCTTTGGTGTTTTTCAGCGTAAACGCAAAAGACTGTAAGTGGATTCATATAAATAAATGTTCAGATACTGTAGTTTGTTCCGATTTTAGCTTGTTTCCGGTAATAACAAGTTGTTGTCATTGCAGTGAAGGCTTTAAAAATAATCTAAATATTTAAAAGATTGTATCTAATTTATATCATGCGATTAGTCATGATTACACTAATATTGTGTTAATATTGTAGCGACTGTTTGAGACCAGTATTTCATTCGTTGCAGGTCTGCTTTTGACTGCTTTTTCAATACAACTGATTGCATTACTCGGGCGTGGTTCTGAAGTAAACAACTGATTCCTTTAGAGAATTTTTATTTTTAAATTATACAGATTTTAAATATAATACCTTCTTAAGCGGCGCAGGGTCGTTCCCATTGATCTCTATATTGGACTTTTTCTTCCGTTTTACTTAAATTGATATTTACATTAAATATAACTTGAATTTCTAAGTAGATCTTAAGGGTCTGAACTTAATATGTTTGACAACAAGTCACTTAAGCTTGTGATCATATAGAAGTGATTAGTTATTGTGAGAACTGATTTGGTATCTGTAAATCAAAAATTAGGTTTTGTTTCCTTTTCTCATGGTGGTTTACTGACGCTGCACTTCTTTCCTTTTCCCACCTTATGTCCAGCTCCCCCAAAGGTTCAGGTGTACACCCATATACCTGGTGATTACGGGGTGCCCAATACGCTGATATGCCATGTCACTGGCTTCCACCCCCCTGACATTGTCATCACGCTGCTGGAGGATGGCAGAGAGATGGCAAACGCCAAGCAGACCGACTTGGCATTTGAGGACAGGTGGCAGTTCTACCTCACCAAATCTGTTCCTTTCACCCCAGTGAAAGGAAAAACGTACGCGTGCAGAGTCAACCACAGGGACAAGGCAAACGAACACTACTGGGGTGAGGCCAAAAAAATGTCCATGTCTCAGAGAGGGTGACCTGACTGCACGTGTGATATGAGGAATTTAGGTCCTTAAACCTCTCCTGACCAAAAATGACAGCTGTGCGTGTGTGTGTGTGTGTGTGTGTGTGTGTGTGTGTGATATGAAGTGATGTCCAGTAGTCTTTTCACTAAGTTACTGCATTTGGCTGCTTTTTTCCTTCTGGGATTTAATTAGATTTTTTTTATTAAAAGGTCATTTTAAGCATCTTACTTATACAAACTGTTTGTTATATTTTATAGTTATTTATGAACTATAGATAGATACATACATACTTTATTGATCCCAAAGGAATTTTAGGTATCCAGTAACTCAAACAGAAGCAAATACACACAATAATAGAATAACAATCAGGATTGCAGAAGTAGAGAGTGTGTCTATGGATGCCATGGAAATGATCAATACCTTGAAAAGTTGTAAGAATAATAATCATTTTGGTTATTCAGTCTCTTTTATATCCATAATCTCTCACCATGAATGTAACCCTAGGTGTTGGCATTAAATCTGGCATTAAAAGTCAACATAACATAACTAACTGCTTTAATCAATAATCTTTTTCTTTTTTTGTCCTAGACCCTGACATGTAACCCGGGGATCAGGCGGCAGCAGGCAGGTACAGTGGTTCATGAAAAAACAAACTCACCATCTCATTCGTTACAGATTCCTAAAAAAAATAAATAAAGATGTTATATTGCTCCTTTATAATTTGATTAAATTAAGAAAATTAGAATAATCTTTCTTGGGGAAAAAAACAGTCGGAGTATGTTAAAAAGTGGGTTTTTCAGCTCCAAAGTTATATTTACAGTAGCTAAATCTTTGCGGATAAATCACTCATTTTTTTATGCTGTACCAAATAACTTCTATATGTGATAGAGCTGTATTAATGCTACATAGAATGAAAAGTTGCAAGAAAGTGAAAACTAGTGAAGATATTAATTTTTCAGAATTAAACGTACTTCGTTGAAGTGGTTTATTAAGTTGATTACTGTAAAACATTCAGCAAAAACCATTTACATTAATACATGTTGAAAATTATTGTTAGGGTTTTTTTTTTTAGATGTTCAGTACAAACCTCAACCCAATCCAGTGGAAAAAAATCACTTGGTGAGGCTTAGAATACACTTACAAACAATGACAAAAAGCTCTGGTTCTGTCACATTTAGAACTTATTTGGTTCTGCCTAAAAATTGTATTCTCTGAATGTTTCCATGGTGTCAGTCAGATCCAGCAGAAGGATTACCCAGCCATGGGGGCCTCTGGGATAGCGTGCAGATTCACCATGACCCTGCATCATTGAATGCTTGGAAAATGGATTAATAGATGGATAAATCAGATTGCCGAAGCACCTTGCTAGATACCATGTGCACTTACATTTCACATGAAGTCTCTCACTTGGCAGACCACAGTGATCTCTCTTACTGTAATAGTGTTTAATTTAACATACAAACTGGCTACATCCATGATTTAAAAATGTAACTCATTTTTTAAATGAAACTTTTCATGTATCCATTTAAAATGCTTTGTGTGAAAGAGGTTTAAAAGACTGGTTGTTGATTTTTCTTGAATTTCTTTTTTTTTTTATTCCATGTGCAGGGTGCTGTACCAGGCTGCAGTGGGAAATACAAACCAACTTCAGCTTTGACCACTATTTGTAATCGATCATAGGTGACTAGGCTTTTCCAATCAGAGTTTGAGTCTCTGCCATGGTTTCATGTGTAGAGTTTGCATGTTCTCCCCCGTGTCATTGTGGTGTTTCCGCCTAAAGCCCAAAAACATACTCAGGTTAATTGGAGTTACCATATTGCCCGTAGGTGTGCGTGTGTGTGTGAGTGTGAGAGTGAATGGTGTGTGCGTGTGAGAATGAATGGTGTGTGAGTGTGAGAGTGAATGGTGTGTGCGTGTGCCCTGCGATGGGTTGGCACCCCATCCTGGGTTTCTCCCTGCCTTGTACCCATTGTCTCCGGGATGTTCTCTGGACCCTCGCGACCCTCTATAGCACAAGCTTACAGAAAATGGATGGAAGCAATTAATAATAGTTGGATGTTGAAATACTTTTCTTCTGAGCAGTGGGGGGATTCCAAAAAATCACCTATGTAATTGATTTAACAAATAAGTTCTTCAGCGCGCATTTACTCATTATGTTTTATGTCGGCATTTCTGAATTCTTTCTGTAATGTTGTTATATCTTTAACAAGTTTTTACTTAGTTACAAACTCTGATGTGGAATTGGATTTCATTTAATTTAGTGATTTATTTATTATGTTATACATTTTACCTTTAATAGTGGATCATGTAGGATATGGAAAAAATAAAGCTTATTTAAGGTGTTGTTCCAGGTGTAAACTAATCACAGATTGTTTGGGGTGGAGGAATATTGCTGTGATTATTGTGATACATCATTAAGATTTTTTGAATAATTGAAACTAAAAATTTTGAAATTGATTTTTTTTTTTCCATTTATGCTCTTAATGAACCTTCACTTGAAATAAAAATGTTTATAATGTTTATGATCTTGAGTCCTCATTTGCAAGGCAGGATGGGAAAAAAATAATTTAAGATGCCCCAGACTGGACTCCTATTTCAGTTGCCTGATCTGCCTATGAGGGTGATGGAGAATTGCTACAAACTGTTTTAGTCCCAATACCTGACTTTACAGTCTCAAGTCAACTGTGCAGCCAGAATTGTTTAATTCTGATTTTTGTAGTTAAAGCACAAGGACTGTATATATTTGGAGATTAGGCAACTCTGTTAACCACTGAACCACCATTTTTGATTTATACAGTATATCAAAAACTTTGGGCTGTACTGCAGCTCTCTGACCGAATATATTTTATATATCTTTCACATGCATGTGTGAAATAGTAGCTCAGCGGTTGGCAAAGTTGCCTCCCCAGGGTTGTGGGATCAATTCTGTATGGCCCAGAAATCCCCATGTCTTGCAGTAACCATAATGTTTAATGAAATGGTAACAAACACATCAATAATTTGTGTAAAATGTCTTCCAATGTAAGTGTATATTTAATGTATTTAAATGAACACACTTCAACTTCGCACCAAAATAGCGTTAATACCCATCCATAAACGAGCATGTCTTTCTTAATGTTTGTCCACAATTTTGCAGACATCATGGATTCTACCTTCCTTCCTTATTCCACACTACAAAAAAAAATTGACTAAAAGCACCACCAAAATCACATTGTCTCATTCAGACAATCCAGAATAATGCAACGATCGGGCCCTGCAGTACTCCGTCAGCCTCCCACACCGCCGTCCCCCCAAGTTGTCGATGGGAGGGGGACTTTAAGTCAGGGCCGCTTCAGATACTGTGACAGTGTTTGCCATTGCTCTGGCATGGCTTGGCTATGGCTTGCTCTGGCCCCATGCTATCTGAGGACGCAGTCAGTGCTGAATGCACCTTCATGCTAGACAGCAGCTCCTGTTACTACGTGCCCCATCAGTATTCAAATGATCAACCAAGAACACTGGGGCATCTTTACTACTCTACCCTACAATAGCCTAACCCTAACCCTAACCCTAACCCTACAATAGCCTAACCCTACAATAGCCTAACCCTAACCTGAGACACGCTGATTAAATAGGTGAGACTGACAAAACACTGGCACCATTAGAGTCTCCATATCTAAATTGCTATACAGACACATTTTCTCATTTTGGAATTAAAGCCTATTCAGTCTCAAGGTATAGCAATGTTTCCAGTGATTAATAACTCTTATTTTGAGCACTGGCATGAATGTTATTAGTTGATCAGTGATTTGATAAAGCAGTATTTGCTTAGTATGTTAAATAAATGAACAATAACACACTAGAAAAAAGCATGGATTAATAACTGATAATATATCATGCTGCAAAAGCATGTACGCTGTAGAAAGGCTACTGTGGTACAAAAATTCTAAACATTTTTTCCCTTGGTGTTTGTCCAGGTTTTGCAAAGATGTGTGAACTGGTACTGAGTCAATAATCCCCTGTGTTACAGTAACTTACCCAGCTCCAAAGTACCTTCTCAACGCCCTGGCTGCGATATTAAAATATACAATATAATCACAATGTACGGTGTAAGTCAATCATACAATCATTCCTAACGAATGCAGCCAGTTAATGTTTTCTGATGCAGGCAATTATTTAATCTCATATGCAGGGGTGCAGTACCAAATTTTGGGCCCCAGACAGAGTAGTGCTCACAGGTTCCCTTCCCCAAGAAAATAAAGGTACAGAAAAACATATAATGTATTTACTATGTTATTTTTTATGATTAGGCTGGTTGGTATGCATTTAAGGCCTTAAACAGCTGTCAATCACTAAGGCAACTGTGCTTTGAATCAGGCGCGCAGTTAGCACCAGGGACGGATGGGATGGGTCCCCTTCAGATTCAGAGTGACCTCGATCCGTCCCCCACCACTTACAGGACAGAAAAACAGCATCTGCCGTCTTTGCATAAGGAAAAAATATCCTTGGTCCCCCCCCAATTCAAAAATCCTATCTGCGTCACTGCTTTGAATTATAGATCATGTTGTATGGGGATTAGATTGTAATAGTCTCTGTTTGAATCAGTGTAATTAATTGGGAATTCAAAAACGAAAAACAAAAACGTAAAGTACCATGTAAAAAGCAAATAAATCACCAAGGCAAGGAGAAAAAAATCAAGGATTGTCCCAGCTTCAAACCTGCTTAACTTACATTCCAGCAACTGTACTTTAATAGGAACAACTGTCACGTTCCTCAAATAAGTGTCAGCAAAAGGCTTTGAAAAGCTGTCCCCAAGGTCAGTATAGAGGTGAAATCGGGCCACATTTTGCATGCAGAACAGAAATCTAAAGGATTGTGCCAGGTTCAAACCTATTCAAATACATTAGAGTAGCTTAAACAAGTGCCAGATATATCAAATAAGCGTCATCAAAAAGTTTGCTGGGTTTTAGACATAGTACCCCCCAACGCGAAATTAGGTGTGATTTCATATAGGTAATATGCATACGCATAACAGAAATGGAAAGGATTGTGTCAGCTTCAGACTTGGTGAAGTACATTGTACTAACCCTCTTTGAATAGAAAAATTAAGCCAGATTTCACACAGGTAAAATGTACATGATTAACAGAAATGTAAAGGATTAATGTTTCAGATGTATGTGGCTTTTCACGTCACAAAAGGGCCGGATAGATGTGAGCCAGCCCGGGATTGTCCAACCCCGCCTTCCCGCCCAATTTTACTGCTGGACACGAGGAAGTGATAAGAGCCAAAAGATAAAGGCGGGCTTTAGTGAGACATTCAAAAATGTCGCCGCTCCAGACCATTGTCGGTTTCATTCTGCCTCCAAAAGACAAAGGCTTCACGGAAAACAACGGCCATGAAGGTTCGGACACTGAGGAGGAGGAGGAAGGCGACGAGCCCGAATTTTTAGACTATACTGAGATATGTAACGCGATGTCCGGGGGTGTCATGATAAAAGGGACCCAAATCGGGCGCACTCAAGGTAGGTTTTTGGTCTTTTATTGGGGAGATGTGCTTGTAATAACCCTGTCAGTTATTATAAGCACATCATAACGATGTTATTTCAAGCATCACCTCTACTGAATTACTTGTTAGTAATACAGTGGTCCCTCGTTAATCGCGGGAGTTACGTTCTAAAAAATAACCCGCAATAGGCGAAATCCGCGAAATAGGATTCTTTATTTATAAATCGAATATTTTCGTAGTTAGAGCATTGGAAACCTGTTTACGACCTTCTAAATACGGTTTTTAACATTATTAGAGCCCTCTGAATTCGGGAGAAGGGTCCGGCTGCAGCTCGTGCACGCTGCCGGGGGGAGGTTTTGACAGTTTGGGGGCTGAGTCATGCCGTTTCTGACAGCGAACGCTATTGGCGGATGAAGTATGGTTTATTTATGTTATAAGTATAATTTCACCGATTCTCATTGCCCTCTTGCCTGTTTCTCCATCAATATAAAACAGATACAGTTACAGAATGCAGTGACACGTTATCGGGATGCTGAGGCAGGCATTAGCTTCGGCATCTCCATACGGTAAAGTAACGTTATCATGTGTTACGAGTTTCCATAGACCATACATAATTTCTACACCTCGTCATGCAACCACTTACGATTAATATTACTAACGTAGTTGTAGCATTTTGTATCGATGCTTTCAGTAGCTATTTGAACGTTGTGGGTTCTATAGTACTTAAATCTGCAATGTAATGCCCCTTTGGTAATTGATTTACAAAAAATGACACACTGAGTTGTCTCCATGGTGTCAGGTATTATAAACTAGTTCCAGATAAAGACTTTAGTGTAATGTTTTTAGTACTGTCTTTATCCATTTACTTTAAGTTAATCTTTTAGACAGCATTTAGATGACTTGTTAAACTGATAACGTAGATGCAGCTCAGGTTCAGAGGGGAACAGGCACAACTATATAATTAATCAGAGCACTGCTGACTTTGCTTGATGGAATGGATAATAGTGGCAGAAACCAACCCAAATGGATGGGTAGGCCTATGTATTACTACTAATATATCATTTCCTCATAGTAACTGAAAACTGATATCTCTAAATACAGGCAGTCCCCGGGTTAAGAGCGTCTGACTTATGGACAATTTGTACTTACGAATGGACTGCCATAAAGCCCATTATACTGTAGCACCGAGCAGGCCGAGGCCTTGTGGCGGGGGCGAATGAAGACGAGGAGAAATGGGCTGATAGAAAGTTGCTCTTTATATATATGAGTCCTTACAAAGATCACACAATAAAGAACAATAACACAGAGACAGCATGGCAGGCAAACGCAAGGAGGTTGCACACTAGTGTTTAGTTTACACTAAATACAAAAGGTTACTTATAACAAGACATACTCAGGGCTATATACACGCGCCCATGAGGCATGTCTGGACATGCAAATGATAGCAGCGCTACACTAATGAAAATTTAAGTTAAATACAATGGTTTGCAATAACGAACATGCTACTTTGTGACGCTCATGAAAACAGCAGCTTGTCATCTTGAGGTACAGTACAGTGCCATATGTAGTTACTTTTATTACTAAATTATTATTATTTTTGTTAACTTACTCTATCATTATTTTTCCGACTTACCTACAAATTCAACTTAAAGACAAGGAACGGGATCCGGTTTGTAAACTGGGGACTAACTGTACAATTGGGTGGCTGTGTCCTAGTACATCCTGGCTAAACAATAAATAAAATCTTTTAGGCTTTTCCCCCAGTCATTAAAGGAAAAAGCTAATCACAGACATGAAGGATGGAATATCCATAATTAAGCATCAGTTTAATTAATATTGTAGCCACTAACCCTCTGCCCAGGGCATTAGTGGCCTCAAGCGCAGTTTTCTCTGGAAGACCGGCTTAAACTGGGAACAGGAACAGGACACCGTGACCATGGGATAGAATGGGGAGTCGGTGGGACTCTGCATCTTATGGTGGCTGAGGTTATGCATTCTGTCACATTGCAGCTGGGCAGACACAGTGAGGGGAAAGCAGGATGCATATGCAGAATTGGGTGACTCATGAGGGAACCATAGACATGATAGCACCTACTCCATCTAGCACAAATGCTGAACCTGCTATCCTGGGCCTAAGACCTTACATACTGTATAAAGGTTAAGACATGAGTGAAACACATGAGGACAATCAGGGTAGGATAATTGGCAATTACCAATTAAGAGACACACTAGGGCAGGGGTCTCAATCTTCAGTCTTGGAGGGCCGGAGCCCTACAAAGTTTTTGGTTCACCCTCATTTAACACACCTGATTCAACTCCTTGGCTAATTACCACACAGCTCTTGAGCTGAATCACTTGTGGTGGAACAGGGAATAAACTAAGCTACACAGGGCTCCAGCGCCCCCAGGACTGGAGTTTGAGACCCCTGCACTAGGGTAACACACTAGGTAAGCCTAACAGCTGAAGCATGTGTGGGTGATGTCTTTCATTCATGGATTGACTAGGAGTGCTCTTCAAGCTGCTGCCAGGTGCACTTATGAACACCCTTACGTTCAAACATGGTGTTTGTTATAGGCAAACTGTGGTTAGCACAGTAATGAATTTATATTTTGTCATTAATTGTCATTTTTGACACACCACAGCACACAACAATGAAATGTGTTCTCTGCATTTAACCCTTATGTGACAATGTGACATAGCAGGGGGCAGCTAATTCAGCACCCAGTGCCTGGGGGCGGTACCTTGCTCAGGATAAATTAGACTTCTCAGGAAGAGCATTTTTGTTGCCTTAGCACAGGGACACGATTAGCTACAAGGCTGCAGACACCAATAACTGCAATTCCCATACCGGGAGTCGAACCCGGGCCACCTGAGTGAAAACTAGGAAGTCCAAAAAGAGAGCACTGCTCAGGTTCAGATCGGGCAGGCTATTCCTCCACATTTTTTCATGTTGGTCCTCTGTGCGATCCTCTACGCATGACGAGAAGTGCTGTGTGTAATGTGTTCACTGAAAGCCTACTGATCAACACAAGGAGCAGTAGAAGGTCCACAAGGCCAAGAGAGATGAACCGACTAGGCAGGGGATTTAGAGATCAGGGAACGGAACAGAGCTCAAAGCAAGTTGCTAGCTTAGAAGATTCTGACTCCAAGGTAAAACAAATAACTTCAAGCATTCCATCTGTTTTTAACAAACGGTAATGGCCTTCATTCATGGCTGTGGTATTGGCTTTCTCGAACAAGCCAATGGTAAAAGAGGGAGCATAAACTGTATCTGAAATTCACATCAAATGGTTTACAAGACACAACGTGTAAAAATTAGTTTGGTACTACTTGATGGGGCACAAATAATATAGTATTATACTATTACATATATTATTGATTAAGTCTTACACACTGATCTCATATTAATACAACATTAATGTCAAGCAGTTGCTATATTTTTATTATCTGTTAATTCTATTAACATTTGTGAACTACTCAAGGAACTACTGAAGGAACAATTCATGAATAACACAAGTGAAATACTGATCTCATATTTGTTCATCATAAAAGATGTCACTAGTCATTAATTTCAAGTAGAAATTATAGTTGTTCATAATTTGTTTATAATTTGTACTTCAAGGTACAGTACAGTTGCCTCATGTCCACCGATGTGGTGCCGGAGCTGGTGCCGGAGCTGGTTCCAGACTTTTCCCCAATCCGGAACTGGCTCCACACATTTTCCCCTCAAAAAACTGGCCCTGGACCAGAAAAAAAGGTTCCAGCACAGCACCACAGAAAAGCTGGTCTCAGAATTTGGCGTCCAAAATCTTCTGCATACCCGGAAAATTCAATCCATAACTGATATAGCTTTGTCTAATATTGCCAGTACCAGCATATGGCACCAAGTGAGAACCAGCCCAGCACCAGCTGATGGTGAAAACGAGGTGTGTGTGTTAGGTGAATATGTAGATGTTACTATAACTACAAGTATGGCAAGTGAACACAAATATGACCGTACAGTTCGAATACCTGTTTGCTTTATTTGTTTTTTTTTCATAGTGAGGTTATATGATTTTGAAACTAAGAAAGAGTACTGTGCCGAGGGAAAGTTCACACTCCTGGACCCCTGGTGGATGGTCACATGCAAGGGAAGATTGGAGAAGGAAAAGATGGTGATGATGGACCCTCTATCCTACCAGCTGCGGACTGATGTGAAGGAAGATATCATGAACTTGTTCTTCAAAGCGTGCGACGTGCATCATTCTCACGTCATGAATTTCAGGCAGTGGCTGAAGGCAGAAAGTGTGCTGAACTTTGAGAACCTGCTTGAGCTGCTTGATAATTTTGGGAAGGTGCCGGATGGTCAGTATGAAAAAGTGCCGAAGCAGATGAAGAAGCAGGTTACTCAGTCTGGTGAGTATCAGCTGCACAATACACTTACGTCTATCAAGCCGAATTCACAACATTTTCTGGGTTGCGCTGTCCATTAACGCGTCACTGTAATGTTTTTGACATACTCAGCTGATTAAACCTGTTCTGTATTTGTATATGTGGTAAACCTGCATGGCACTTATAGAAAATTCTAAATAGTAAGTGTTGGGGTTTTGATTTGTAATCCATCATATTCACCCAATTTGTTATTGCCTGGGATTTTCCATCCTAGTCCTGAATCCCTCAAGTGTACAGCGTTTCTTTTTTTGTCTCTCTTAAGAATAACTGAGCTCCTTAAACCATATTTATATTTTTAGATCTGTAGTATAGGGTAGTGCAGAGCTATACAGTTAATCATTTTTAAATCGTGATCTTAATTCATACCCCTATGCAATCTCATTCTTACATGACAATGATTATGCTATGTTTGCATTATCGTGGAGATTGGTTGCATCAATCCAAGCTCTCATCTTTCTCAATAAGCTGTATCAGCAAATGACTGTACTGTATAAGACCAGGAGACAAACTGTATACAGAAAAAGGGGGCAGGTTTGAAAACAAATCTGTGTGCAAAAAGGTGAAAGGAAAAACATCAAAAACAGGAACAAAGAAAAACGGGTCACATTTGCTTATGTGGATTTTTCTTCGGAGTAACATGACATGTTTATAGTACAGATATTTGTTTGAGGGTGTCATAATTAAGAGCAGACAAGGTTTGTTTCGTATTTCTTGTAGTTGTAAATGAGTTGTGTCAAAAATTTAGAGAGTGCTCTTTTGGTTCCAAGTTCATGGGACAGTCCCATTTCAGATATGTATTGAAATGTAGTGATCATATTTTTTGTTCTGTCTTCATGATAATAATAATAATAATAATAATAACAGCTATAATAATAAGAGAAATATATTGCACAAGAATTTTGAGTTAAAACTAGTTTTGTAATACTCCAGACCGGTCTTGGTCTCAACCAATTTTTTTCAGTCTTCATCTCATCATGTGTTGATTTTTGCACCCATTAATCTCAGGCTCTTGACTTTGGATAGGTATAACGCACATACATGAATCGCATATCTTTGCAATCGAAAGAACTTACTGGATCCGGTCATTCAAGGTGTAAGGTCTAAAATTTTCCAGAGTAATCCTGTGCGCAATGTTTTAAGCATTTTCCACAAAAAAGCACCCCTAACCTTCCATAAAACATTGATATTATTCACATTAGACGGAAATCAAAGCGCATATTCGCTTCCACAATGATCCATGTACTACTCTTATGGAAAAAAAAATATTTTAGAATTTATTTATTATTAGACTATAAATAAAAAGAAAAACACTCAAATGGGCAGAGTTCTACTAGAAATAACAACAATCCGCAACATTCTATTTATTAGGTAGACAATTAGTTGATTTTTTTGCCATATTCACAAAAGTTTGTATATGTATGTTTAATGTCGAGCTCCACTAAAACTGTTGAAATAGAACGTGCCCGTCATGTAATTGGAACACCTACATCTAAACACAATGATGTGCTGCAGCGTTGATTTGTTGTTTGAGGATAAAATGCCAAATAAAAGTTTCCTTCTCAAATTTCACCAATTATAGCATACATAGGTGAAAAAAGGGATAGGGATAACCATCCAGCATTAGACTCTAAAACCATCTGTTATGTCTTTGCTTATCCATTAGATAATAAACTAAACAATGGTTTTCAATTTCAATTTCTTTCAGATGTTATAAAGTAACAAAAAATTGAAACCATGCATTGCTGTCTATCAGATAACTTCAACAAGTTACCAAATGGATGCAAAATCAGATATTCATTTCCGCCTGACACTAGCCAAGTATTCCTTCACAACACTAAGCCATAGAAAGGTCCCCAATGAAACCCCTGCATTCCCACATCATCGAGACTCTAATCTCAACAATTATAAGATTATATTTGTAGTGCCTGCATTTTTGTATATTAGATGCCGCAAGTTGTTTTTCCTCATAAGAAGGATGATATCAAGACTGTTATAACATATCTGAGTAGTCCAGCATATGTGGCATACAATGTAATAAACCTAAAATCAAAGGGATAGAAAAATGGTCAAAAATTGATAGGTTTTAAAGGGTTAACACAGTACTGTGATTGGATATAACACAGTACTGTGATTGGATGTAAAACAGCCTGCTTCAAAGTTCAAATGCAACCAATAATTATTTTAAAAAATGTTACATTTGTACAGAAGCATTTATATTGAAATTTTAAGAAAAAAACTGGCTCAAATTATACTGTGACACAAATTTTAGGCCATTCTGCCTAGCCCCAAAATGGTGCCTATGCGCCACATTTTATAGTGCGTCGTGTTATATAGACTTAAACCTATATATATATATATATCATGTTTCTGATCTTGACTTGGTCTAGCCCTGCCTTGGTCTTTGTCTTGTCTCGGTCTTGTCTCGATCTTAATATACTCTGGTCTTGGTAATGACTTGGTCTCGGTTTAAGTGGTCTTGACTTCATCACTAGTTAAAACTGTGATCTCATTTTTGAGTGAAAAAAACTTGTTATTCATATTTAACCCAGAATCGTGCAGCCCTAGGTACACGCTGCAGCAAGACTAATTAATTGGACCAAGAGCCAACTTGCAGTGAAGGTGTTTTTGGATCATAATATGGCATTAGAGATTGATGTCTGGATTAGAAAATGTTTTTTTGTGTAATGTTTGAATCATCTTTTGTTCAGAGGGATGTTTTGACTCTTTGAAAATGAGGTAGCACTGTTCATCAGTTGCAGGGAGGCGTGTGTTTGCTGCAGCAGCGAATCCTCACGTGATGAAGCACCTGCCCACCCTGCTTCCAAAGCACTTTCTGGAGCTCCTCCAGAAAGGCAAGGACCCATCTAACAAGGAGGAGGGTGACAAAAGCTTGCTGGGCAGGCTGGAGAACATTATTAGGACAGAAGCGTGGAAGCTGGGTTTCAGCGATGTGAGTATGTGCTGGGACTAGTGCTGTGCATTATGGACAAGAATCATAATCTTGATATTTTAGGCCGAACAGCAATGCGCTAAATGTTCAGTTGAAAGCCAAAGCCAGATGTGAGATGCCACAATCTATTATTAAGAGTATGATCCGAAATACAGTTAATGTTTGCAAATGTATAACTACTCAGTATTGACAAGTTTATGTCATGTCATGATTACTTGATTACTAGACTAGAAAAAAAAAAAAAAAACTGAAATTAAAATGTACCCTATCAATTGTTTGGCAATATGGTGAAAGGAAGAAGGTGTGTAGTGGAGGAGGATCTGAATAATAAACAAAAGTCTCAATTGTGTGGAAGCACTTCACATTAAAAGTGAATGAATGACTTGAATTGAAATGGTGGCTCACGGGGAGTTCCTGGGCCAGAGGTGAAAATCAGTTTACGTATTTAAAAGCAAACCTTTCCGGCCCATGCATCCCTTGAAGACTTTGCTTGTTTCTGGGTCATAATTGTAATCATCGGTTATGTTGCCAGTGGCTGTTTTTTGAAATTACAGGTCTCTGAATGGTTCTCGCAAAGAGACATTATTTTGCAGACAAGGCAATTAAATTTTTAAGCTCATGTTTTACCACCAATCTTCACTCATAGACTAATATTCGGAATTTATAGCATCATCAGTCTGACGTCTGTCTAATTCTGGACTTTGGAAAACGACTGAAAAAGTTTGTTATAATTAGTGTCTTCCTTTTCAAAGGAAGTGTTGAATTAACAATTTCATATGCAGTTTTTTTTCTTCTTAAGCTTCATGCAGAACTTGAATCACAAATACCATGTAAGGCCTACCATTTAACTGTGTAAACTGAATAAGCTACAAACTTTGCAAAGGTACTAATGGCTAAGTTCCGTATGGATCTGTGGTCTGTCTAGAAAAACCCTGATCATTGGTCTTCACAGCTTTAAAACTGATTTTTTTAAAATGATCTGTATTAAGTTCGGGTTTTGCTGATGTAACTGATTGCCCTCCTGTGTAGATCCTGCATAAGGAGCTTGGTCTAATGCGATGTGAGGCTACTGTGAAGGCTCTCCAAGCTTGTGGGCTGTTCCACAAGATCCCCACCCTGCAGAAGAATGCCCTACTGGTTTATACCAAACTGAAGAAAGATTGCTACAGGATCGGCAGCACCTATGTGGATCTGGAGGACCTCAGAGAAGACAGGCCAGAGGATGAGCACAGAGAGGCAGTCTATTTTCTCAGGACCCAGGGTGTAGTTGCGATAACTATGAGCACACGTGTGGCTCTGAGGAAGCTATACACCTATGAGACAGGCATCGCCAACTGCCTGGAGCAGCTGCTGTCTAGGTCTCCATATTCCATTGATCTGGATGCCAAAGAAGTCCTTCGAAAGGACACAAATAGTGGCATAGAGATGGATCTTGACCTAGACCAGGTTCGAGCTGCCGAGATGATCTGTGCCAACCCCATTTCCATCATCAGTGGGAAGGGAGGCTGTGGAAAGACCACAGTTGTCTGCCAGGTTTTGAAGGCAGCCATGGAGAAGCTCAGGCGTGCCAAGGAGGAAGTGAAGAATGCCCCTCAGGATTTTGAAACCATCACAGAAGCACCACAGGAGCCCATCAGTGATAAGGTGGAGGTCCTTCTTACCGCACCTATTGGACGGGCAGCTGCCTTGTTGACCAAGAAGACCGAGTTCAAAGCATACACACTACATCAGGTAAGGCGTGTTTCTGCACCTGTTTTAACATCTCCATGCTTCTCAGTCCATCTTCCCCTCTTACCGCAGCACAAAGTCATCTGCTGCTGAGATCAGTTTTAGAACCATGGCCAAAACCCCCATGGTTGAAAACTATTTTTGGTTGTGACTTAGATGGACCGTTTATACACTTATGTGGACTCACTGAATGTTGTTCCCAGGTGGTGTGGAGTTTTATGAACGAGGAGAAGGATGACAGTGGGGCTCCAAAGAAGTGGAAGTTTTCCTCTGTGCGAGTGTTTGTGGTGGATGAAGGTAGCCTCATGTGTGTGCAGATCTTCCACTCCGTCCTCACAATGCTGACGAAATATAGCCAGCTCCAGAAGATCATCATTTTGGGTGAGTTACCAGTCGTGACTGGACATACACTGCTTCACAGCTGTGGGGTTGGGCTGTTATTATGAACTGTTGTGTAGAAGTTACTGCATATCTACTCCGCTTTGATTACTTTGGTTCCCATTTTGGTTTAAAACAAGATGTATATCATGGGATCCCAGCCCAAAGGCATATTCCTCCCAACTGTAATGCCACAGCAAAAAAAAAAACAAAAAACATTTATTCTATTTTTCATTTTATTTTGTTTACAAATGTTGACTTTGTAGGAGACCTGGGACAATTGCCCAGCATCAGACCAGGGAACGTGCTATCTGACCTGTTCAACAGCCTGCTCCTTGTCCATTGGGCCACAGAGACGAAAACAAATCATCGGGCTGAGTCAGAGCTGATAGTCAAGAATGCCAGACTGTGAGTCTCTCTCTAACACATTTACATGTAGACATCAGACATGTCTTATGCAGCTCTACTGAAATCAGTGGACACATATGAGCAGAATAACTAAGCTGAATCCCAAAGATGCAAAATGTAACCACTATACAGAGATTTTGTTTGTGTATTTTGCATGTATTGGGTTTTAAAATTTGCTGCAGGATAAACTGTTAGCTTATAGTCAATGCTGTACTTCAGGCTACACAATGCTACAAAATGGAAACCATTTGCTTGGAAAGACTTCAGTCTTGCTTGGCAGCACAGTGAGGTGGGTGACAGCTCTTGCAAAACGTTTACCATAGCTGTCAAGTCTCCCGTTTTGGCCAGGAAACTACCATATTTTATCCCTCTTTCCCGCCGTCCTCCTGTATTAGTACTTTCCCGTAAATCTCTCGTATTATAATATCATTTAAAAAAAAAAAAATCCTCTGCCTCTCCAAACTGAACTGTCAGTAGCCTCGCGAGACCTGCCACCTGCAGTAGTCTGCAGGTCATTCACAACATTAACCAGGTCATAAATGCGGAGGTTAAAATGGCAATGCTGTGTGCCAAAAACAATGTTACTTTCACCTTCTGTGACGACTTCAACAAGGATACAAAGTCTGCAACAAATCTGTACAAGTCATTAGTGAATGCCAGAGAGCCACATGAGTGAACATGAGAAAGTAAAAGAAAATGTGTAATGAAAATAAAATGTAAATGACAAGTGGTTACTTTAGATATCTTGTACACCTGTCTTAAAATGTAAGGGATACTGGAGCTTGGTTGGGGTGGTGGGATGGCTCGCGGTGGGTGCCGGAAAATTTCCCTTATTTTCAAATCCAAAACTTGACAGGTATGTGTTTACAATGAAGCATTTATACCTCCAACAAAACCTGAAGCAAGAATTACTTACCTACTACTGATTTCAAGGATTTCTCAGTGTTCAAAAGTGTAGGTGGGGCTGTATGCTTCCCTGCCATTACCACCATCATAGACGTCAAACTGTAATACAGCCCACTGGGTGCTGAGCCGCAGTTAAAGGATGTGTATTAGCTTGGCAGAAGGCTTCTCTTAGCTGGATTCCTTTCTCGACCCAGAATCTCTGAGATGGGTGAGAAGAAGTATTGTGACCTGGAATGGGATGCCACCGTGGACATGAACTCCCCTTTCAAGAAGCCCCCCCCAGACAGCCATTTCATTGCTGTCTTCCTTCCACAAGACAACAGTAAGCATCCTTTCCAGCAGCAGCACCCTGACACTGCTACTCCAAGCTTGTGGAAGTGTGAATACTTATTAGGGATGTAACGATACACTCAACTCACGATTCGATACGATTCAAGAATCTGAGTTCACCATACGATTTTCTCACGATTTTTTTTAGCAGAGCTGCAGACAAATTTATTTTAAAATATTCCTTTATCTTTCTAAACTGTGCAAAATGTGTCCTCTTCTTAACAGTGCAACTAAAATCGAATAAAATACTGTTTTAAAAGAATCCCAAATCAAAATAAGTAAATTTAAAAAAATCTCCAAATAAATAAACTAAGGCTTGTATATGCAGCTTTTTAGCATAGTTTGCCCTTTTAATAATCTTCGCTCTGGCAGTGGTGAATTGAGCTCACTGTGGTGCCGGTGGACATGCTGAAGCATGTTCATTGTGCTATTTGTGTGTGTTATCAGTCTTTTACAATGTTTGCACACAGTTTTTGTCTTGTCTGTGCTTTTCTCGCTGTTTTCGTTTGTGATTACCGGAAAGCTAAAATGCTGTCACACCGCCGATTTAAGATTGGGCGGTGCGTCCATCCATCCATTTTCTGAAACCGCTTAATCCCAACTGGGGTCACGGGGGGACTAGAGTCTATCCCTGGAACAATGGGCACAGATGGGAACCGTCCCCTGGCAGTCATCAACACACCACAGGGCGCACGGACTCACACAACTACAGGGCCAATTTAGAATCACCAATCAGCCTATCTTGCACGTTGTAGGAGGGAACCGCAGCCCCCAGCGGAAACCCGGGGAGAGCGTGCGAACTCCACACAGAAAGGACCCGGGACCAAAGCCAGGACCTTCTCACTGTGAGGCAGCAGCGCTAACCACTGCGCCACCGCAAATTCACTCACCATCTCACGTTTGGTCAAAACCAAAAAACTTATGTACGATGTCGTCATGAATACGCAGTGACATCTGACGTCGAACTGACGTCATGAAATCAAATGTAATATTACACCAGTTTTTCTGTTAAAGTACTGTGAAGTACTCCTAAAGTAGCGATTAATTTTCCACATCAGCCAGTTTAAATCATCAGACATTTACACTGATTTTTAACCAATTCGCGATTCATCATTACATGCCTAATACTTATACCTAGTTAACTAGCATAACTAATGTGCTCCAGAGTTCACTTGTCAGAATGTAAACTCATAGTTTACCATCCCCTGTTGTAGTGGGATAGCTTATGTGAAACTGTACTTAACAATTATTGGTGTATAGAGACCTAATACCAAAACAGTATATTTAATGGTATGTTTATGAAGTATTTTCCCCGACACTTGTTGCCCTAATGAATCTATAAACTGTCTTAAGTTCCTTGAGCAGTATCAGACCATATAGCTATTGGGCCCATTTAGCTGGGGAGTAGAGATAGCAGTGGAAGAGAATAGTCCAGTGAAGCAGGGTTGAGAAATTGGGACGAAGTTTTATGTCACGTGACTTTACCTTGTGTCTGTGTGTAAGAGAAGGATCCTAACAGCTTTTCTTATCCACTATTTTATGTAGCCTATTTCAAACACCTACAAACGGCGGTCACCGTGCTGCTGGAACATGGCCCAGGGTTGGAGACTGACAAGTCCTCACAGTTCATTGCATTCTCAAGGTAGGACTATTTGCCAAATATTAATCATCATGGAGAGATTTCTGCAATTAATATACATAGCTCAGATGTAATAATTTTACTTGGTTTGTAATTTTTGTCATGCAGTCTAAACTGATTATTCTCCATTGCAGGAAGGAGTGTGCACTTATCAATGAACTGTGCTGGGACCATAAACATCGTACTGGGTAGGCCTGCATGATGTGCTATGCTAATATTGACATTGTATGTTTTGTACATGCAGTTGTCTCCATGCAAGGACTTAGTCAGCTAGGTTGAGGCCATCAATAAGTTTAGCCTTTTTTACTCTGTCATAGGAAACCACACTTATTCAGCTTTGTAATGTGATGACTGTCCATAACTAAGATTATGTAGTGTGTGTGTGTGTGTGTATATATATATGTATGTGTGTATAATTTAACAGAAATGACTGAGGAGAAAAGCAAACATTTGTGTCCTTTATCAAAATATTTTGGATTACCTAGAGATGATATTGAGTAAATGTTAGTGATTTGTTGGTACTAATGTCAAAAAAGAATCAATTCTCAGATACTAATCCATACTAGAATTTAGTATCGAGTTTGATATCCGCATCTTTATTCATGCCAGTTACACTTCAGTTATTTTTTTAAGCCCATCCTCAGAAGAAAACTGTATATTTGCACAAGCTAATAGAGCTTTAAGATATTTTATTTATTTTACAGTGTTAATGGCCTTTTTCTGTTTAATATGTTTATTTTTTCATTATATTCTTTGGCTTTTTATTTTTTTGGTGGTGTTCTGACTTTATTAAAAAAGAAAGTTCCTGTGTTTGTTTTTTCTCCCCCTGTATTAGCGAAAATAGTATCGAGTATCGAGCACCATCCTTAGTATCGGTATCGAGTTTGAAATTTCAGTATCGTGACAAGCCTAGTTGGTACTGCTTTGTGCAATGTATTTATAGACTCTGTTGGTAAATATTACCAAGTTACAGCACCCTCCACAATTATTGGCACTCCTTGTAAAGAGTGAAAGGGTTAGAAAAAAATCCACTTTTTGGTGAAGCAGCTTCATGTCACATTGAAAAATTGAGAAAAATCCAACCTTTAACATAAATTTATTCCAAGAAAAGAAAAATCCTTCATCAAGAAATAATTTTCTTTAACAAAAACACGTGCCATGATTATTGGCACATTATAGTGAACCCAATGTAACTGAAGCATGTTTCCCCTGTAAATTGTACATCTTTGAGTTGAGTGGAATATATAGGAACCTTCAAGCTGTAATCCATGACTTCCTGGTTAACTGGGATACGAAGATGAGGTGACACAGAGCCCAAATTCCCTTAGTCATCCATCAACATGGGAAAGATAAGAGAACATACAAACCAAATGAGGGAGAAGTATGTTGACCTTCATAAGTCAGGGAATGGGTATTAAAAAATAGCTACTCACCTTAAAATGCCCATTTCTACTGTTAGAGCAATAATAAAAAAGTAGACAACTGGAACTGTTACAAACCTGCCTGGAAGAGGACCCAAGTTTATTTTGCCACCACACTATAGTGAGGAAGATTGTAAGAGGCAAAAAGATCCCCAAGGATGACTTGGTGAATTACAAGGTCAAGTGAAATCTTGAGGTTACCACGTCTCTGAAAAAAACCATCAGCAGCTAACAGATTATTTGGAAGGTATGACAGAAAGAAGCATTTTCTGTCAGTTACTTAAAATGTAAGTGCTTGGACTTTGCAAAACGCTACTGAAACTTTGACTGGAATCAAATTCAGTGGTCTGATGAAACAAAAATGTATCTTTTTGGCAATAAACATAAGGTGGGTTTGGTGTAAAAAGAAGGATGGCTATAATGAAATTAACATTATCCCAAATCTAAAATGGTGGAGGTTCTGTGATGTTGTGGGGCTGTTTTTCCTCCAAAGGCCCTGAAAACCTTGTTAGGGTTCATGGCATTATGGACTGAAATACATGAAATACCAGGACATTTTAAATCAAAATTTGGCACCCTCTGCCAGGAAACCAAAACTGGGCCATCATTGGATCTTCCAGCAGGACAGTGATCCTAAGCACATGTCCAAATCGACACAAAAATGGTTAGCTGACCGCAGAATCAAGCTTCTACCATAGCCAGTCCCCTCACCTGAAACCCATTGAAAACCTGTGGGCTGAGCTGAAGATGAGAGGACCTAGGACCCTGGATGATCTGGAGGGATTCTGGACTGGACTCTGATGCCGTGTTTGGTATTCTCCAACCTTATAAAATGTTATAGGAGAAGACTTAGTGCTGTTAAACTGGCAAAGGGAGGTTGTACAAAGTATTAAGAGCAGCTGGGGTGCCAATAATTGTCCATCTATCCATTTTCCAAACCATTTATCTGTCTGGGTCATCTGGAGCCTATCCCAGAAGCTATGGACACAACCCAAGATGGGGGGCCAGCCCATTGCAGGGCACACTCACACACCATTCACACCTATGGGCAATTTAGTAACTCTGCATGTTTTTGGACCATGGGGGGAAATCGGAGTACCTGGAGGAAACCCCACGATGACACGGGGAGAACATGCAAACTCCACACACATGTAACCCAGGCAGAGACTTGAACCCTGGTCCCAGAGGTGTGAGGCAACAGTGCCACCCCCATACCATGTGTTTTTGTTAAAAATAAAGAAATCGTTCATCAAGAAATAGTTATATTTCAATAAATTTATTTTAAGGAAAGGTTGGATTTCTCTCAATTTTTCAGTGTGACATGAAGCTGCTTCACCAAAAGGTGAATTTTTTCTAACCCCTTTCACAAGTCTTTTACAAGGGGTGCCAATAATTGTGGAGGGCGCTGTATATTCGGCGGTAGTTTTTTTGGGTAAATTATGATCATAAAAATGACCAGTGTCACTTCATTCTTTGTTAAACGTTACTCAGAAAATATGGATGAACTCCACATCTTCCAGTACTCTTAACTATATTTAGATTTCCAGAGTTTCTTAGCTGACTGGAAGCTGTCTTATTGGGGACAATTGGTTTCTTTTGTATTGCAGAAGCCACAAGAAGAAACCAGTATTTAGGCAAGGTGACAAAGTGTGCTGTACAAGGAACGGCTTTGTTACAGACCTGGAGTTGGAGAAAGAGTGGGACCGGCTCAGCTCCGATACGGAAGACGACACTGAGGGTTGCAATGGAAAGAAGAATGTCAAGAAGCGACTCTGCAATGGACAGATCTTCTTCATCAACAACGTGGGGCTGCTTGTTGCTTTCTTCTTGTAGTGAACCATGTGGTGAAGGAGGATTCAGTTAACTACAGCAGCCTGTGGTATTTGTAAACTCATTCTGCTCGTGTGAGGTGAGCTCTTCCCCAATGTTCTCCCACTCCTATTGCAGGACGTGACTGTCGTGGAGGCTGCGGCACGGGGCAGGAGACGGTACCTAACTCTGGACGACAACGATGGCTGTAACTTTACTGTGCTTTTTAAGGAGCTGCAGAAAGAGTGCAAGATCCAGCACGCCTGGGCCAAAACCATCCACACCTTCCAGGTCCGTATCCTACACTAAAACCATCTGCACTTTCAATAAACTTCTATAAACACAAGCTGGACCATCAGCCAGAATGGTGCTAAGTTGCTAACACGTTATACTTACTTGATTAGAAGGATTAAGGAAGGCAAACAGTTTATTTTTTTCTGTAATAACACATCTGATTTGGCGTGATAATATCCCATCCACTTAGGTAGCTAATGGTTTAGCGTGATATTTTATTAATGATAATTTTAAGTAGACCTAGTGCTTACAGGATCAAAATTTATTTAGTCCGCCTGATGGGGAAAGTTGATTTAGTAGAGAAATGCAAATAAATATGACCATTAAAAATTAATTCCTGAACAACATTAAACAGACAATTTACTCCACAAAGTAACCTCTTGAGAAAATAAACCATCAATGAAATGGAAGTTTTATATACAAAACCATTATATACAAAGCCATTGCAAGTTGTACTGTGAGTTTGGTGTATTACATGCTGGAAATCACTGATAAATGTAAATAAAAAATCCAGAAAACAGAGAACAAAATGCCTATGTAATGTGTCTCCTGCAATGAGACCCCTGAAGATATCAGAGTAATTCTTTCATCAGAACAATAATTGCTAATTTTAAGCGTTCATCATTAGCCAACTCCAAGGGACTTACTACATACGAAACTGCATGCAACATTTCCCTTATCTCAAAGCTTTGTCATTGATGGTTCAGGTTAAGGTGACACACTTTCCATTAATGCCTCAAAATGAATTTGCTTAGAAAGAAAAGTACATAAGGCATTTATGTACCAAGCAAATAGCTGTAGTGCTTTGGTGGTTTACCTGATGTTAGGGACTTAAACTGAAGATGTTATACAACCAGGTATTTAGAGCAAGGGCTTAGTATCAGAACAAGGCTGGTCTTCTGCTTCGTGGTGGTGACGATTCTGAATGCACTGCCCTGTGACACATTGAGCATATAGGACATCCGGCGATTTGCATGTGAACAGCGTAGATAAAGACTTCTCGTACTGATTAGAGAAGGGTTCCCCAGCTAATACCATTGAATTCCCCCAACCCATGTTCTCATCTCCTAGGGGTCAGAAGCTGAGACCGTTGTGTACATCCTGGGATCAGGGTGGTATCAGCACTGGAAACACGTGTACACGGCAGTGACACGAGGACAAAAGCGCGTCTATGTGCTGATGTGTAAGGACAGCCTGAAAAAAGTCATTGAAAGAAGGGTCACCAAGCGTAAAACTCAGCTGAAAGGTCTGGTGAACCAAGTGATTGCCCAAATGGTGCGCACTGAGCCACGCCCGGCTGCAGCAGCTCGCAGTAGTCACCCGGGTGATGACTATGATGGCAACAAGACCACAGCCAAACGGCCCAAGGTTAGTGGGTGATGGTGATGATACCAGCTGGCTTGTGAGAACCATTAACCGATATGTAACCCCTTTCTGGTTTGCTTATGTAAATGCTGTAACCACCTACCCCCCCCCCCCCCCCCCCCCTCACACAGATGGAGGCCCAAAAGTAGAGTCTCCCTCTCCCATGGTGCCTGTTCCACAATCTACCCCTGGAGGATGTCTCCGCTGCCGCCACTACAGAATCGCTCCCCCCACGAAACGGCACACGCTTGCTGGGCCCGATCGACAGCGACCAGCCGTCCAGCCCTGGCACAGATCAGCTTTTAAGCATTATTTTGAATTCTCATTAACCGTATCATTAACCAAGTAAGCAATAATCAAACCACCCCAGTGCTGTATTTCGATCTGAATCAAAGAGCTACACTGGACAAATAGATGCACTTTTTAATCACAGTAAACATTTTAAAACGCTAACAATCCCACAGTGTGAGCCAAGGTATCCAGCTCATGCAGCAGCTTTGTCGGCTATAGAGGAAACTCGGATCACTTCTGCCTCAGCAGCAACCACTCTGCTATCGTTTATTGTCTTTCTCCATACAAAGGTTTACAACTGTGGAATTCTCAAAGTCATACATAGACGATAAATATCATGCTACCAAAGTATTAAATTTGTACAAAAATACTTTACAGTTTATAATACTCGTTCAATAAAAATAAAAATACAGTATTTCAGGGACTTTAATGTGAACGTTTACTTGCAGTGTGTGTATGTGTGGTGCGAGATTTCATTGGCAGTGCTAATCTCTAGGTGAATACATGGAGTTAAAAACATCTGAGAATTAACTTAAAGGCCTGTATGTCTGTGGGAAAAGCAGGTAAGCAGGATTAATCTGAAAATCATGAGTTGTGAGGATCTGGAAATACACAAAGGTGTGTTTCCACCAGACAAACGGGATGCTGAGAATGGCTGATAGGATACAAAATGAAAATAGTAAATGGATGATGTGAAGGCCTGTTTTTAGGGAGTAATCATGCCTAAACTATGTCACATCCCCTGTGTACTACCGACTAACAGAGGAGGCCTTAAAACCCTAGTGAACAGAGGCCACACTAGACGTTTATATGTGACACATGGCAAACAGTGAAGATCGAAAGGTCCTCTTAATTGGCAGGTACCATCAGGTGAACAAGACTGCAACGTGTATCGCGTAACTGCGGCGTGTGTGAAATTGAGTAGACAGAATGTGAGCACTGACCACAAGGGTAACATCACAGCCACTAATTTACAGACACAGGTAGTGGATTTCTGTTATAAGCAGCCTTTAAAAGTTTTTGTATATAGTCACTGCCACACTAAGTGAAAGAAATATGAAGCTATTCTGGACCGACGCAGTGGCGAGTCACCAAATTGGGAGCTCTGGAGAAACACAAGTGCTGTTCTACATCTAGTGATAACCTTTGGGG